AACTCAGGCCCAAATCTCATTGTGCCTTCCAAATTAACTTTTTTTTAAAAATTAATTTTATTTAGTTATTTTTCAAGTACCGTTTTTTTTATCTATTTTTCCCATCCCAGCCTCCCCCGCCCCTTGCTCCCCACCTCCCTCCCATTTCCACCCCCCTTAGTTCTCATCCCTGTGTCCTTCCTATTTGTTCCTCCAAATCCCTCCTCCTTTTCCCCCTTAACTTCCCTTCCTTCTCCCCTCTGGTCACTGTCCCCTTGTTCTCTATTTCAGTGTCTTTGTTTTTTTTTTTTTTTGCTTGCTTGTTTGTTTTGTTGTTTAGCTTCCTGTTAAAGGTGAGATGATATGGTATTTGTCTTTCAGCACCTGGCCTATTTCACTCAGCATAATGCTTTCCAGTTCCATCCATGTTGTTGCAAAAGGTGGTAGCTCCTTCTTTCTCTCTGCAGCATAGAATTCCATTGTGTATATGTACCACAATTTTTGGATCCAAATTAACTTTTAAAAGTCCAGTCTAATCTCTTCATTTTCTCACTTCTTAGTCAGGTCAGTTGTTTACCCTCGGAGGAGGGTTTTAATTTGTTTACCATGGGTTACAGAGCCCCCAGATCCTGACCTCTGCCTGTCTCCTCTCTCACCACCACTGCCTGGACCTTCCTGACCCCAGGCTCTAGCCAGGCTGGAATGATTTCAGTTCCTAGAACATGACTAGAGCTGCATTAGCCTCCAAGCATGCTGAGTTCTCTCCAACTCCCTTTACCTCTTTACCAGGCTCAAAGTCACAGTTCTGCTCAGATGCCTCTTTCTCCCGGGAATGGGTTTGGATCCTTGATTTGCCTACTTAGAGTGCTGTGTGCCTCCCTTTTCTGGAGCCCAAGTTACACTCAGAACCGACGTGTCCCTAATAGTTTTCCTGCTGCATTGGAAACTCCAGGAGGGCATGTGTCTGACACACAGTAGCCAAACATTAATATTTGTTGAATAGAATGAAAAGTGAGTGGATGAATGAATAAAGTAGGAGATAATCCAGTGTACCAAAGAATCTATGAAAGGGGAGATTATGAAAATGAACATGCAAAGAACATGGAGAATTCCACTATGCCAAGAGCCAAAAGATTCTTGAGGTTTAACACTTAGTAGCTTATTGTCGAGTTTAGCAAGGAGGGTTTTAGTAACGGTGGAAGCAAAACCTGGAAAATTGGAGGTTTAAGAGTAAATGCTTAAGGAAATAAAGATAGCACATAGGGCTGGATCTTGTCAGAATGTGACTATATAAAACTGGGAGGAGTGACAGCTTGAAAGGGTCTGTCATTTGCTTGTCATTTTTCTTAACTTAGACTGGGAAGACTTGAACATTCTCACTGGTTTTTCTACTACCCTGTCCTGCTTTCCTGATATATCATAGAGGAAAGTTCTATAAATATTTCCTACTGCAAAGTAAAATGAAACACATTTTAAAAGCCTGATTTATGGGATTTCCTTTTATATTTTAAAAATTTTGGGGGAATGAAAATTTCTGATGATTTTCAGGCTGCCCCAAAATTAAGCCGGTTCTTTGACATTCATTTATGAAGATGGTTGTTACAGTTTGAGCTGGACTATGCAAACTTTATCCTGACTAAGGCAGTTTGTTTTGAAGTTGTCTTTTCCTTTTAGCTACTCTTAAAAATCTGGACTTTGGAATTTCATCTTGCAACACTTCTGTATCTTGAATCACAGATTTTGGCACAGTTAGGTGCTAAGACATTGATCAGTGGATATATATATTTGCTTTTTTTCCCTTACTGTGGAGATTTAGTTCTTAGGTTCCCCCCACCCTCCCCCCACACATACCATTTATAATTTAAAATCTGCTTTTTAAGACCCACTGTTATAAAAAAAATGCTTTTTGTGTCCGAGACTACCTGTGGGGTGTTTTTCTCAGGTCTCTTTACTTGTAGAAAACAAGATTTTTGAAAGGATGGAGACCCCCATTACCTGAACAATAAGGCATCCTGGTTATTAATATGAGGCCAATAGCTGGGCTATTGTTCTCACCATAGCGGTTAATCACTTACTAGTAAGAGGGAGAGAGCATTCAGTATATTTGAAGGCTGTTAATCATCAACTCTGGGAATGGCAAATATCACTTCGAGTTTCTGAGAATATACACCCCCCACTGTTACCAAGGCTTTGTCACCAAATGTATTACTTCAATTAATTTGTTTTTTCTTTAACATGTTTGCTGTCATTTCTATCACAAGCTATGTACTGAATTGCAAGTGACCAAGTCATTTGTGAAGTTACTGCTGTTACACATAAAATACATCCCAGGCTGAGTCGAGGAACCCATTCTGTATTCCTGGCAGGCAAGCACAAGACAAACGTAGGTTTCCAAGGTATCAGCACTGTGTGCATCTGTTTCATGGTGTAATTTTGTTAGCTGAACAGATGAAGGATGCTAATTAGTTTGTTTATACATTTGTGATTTAATGAGACTAAACACTTAACTTATCTTGAAGTAAGTACAACTTGTTTCCTGTTGCTGTTTTTAGTTCAATTAGAAACAGTGTTAGGCATATTTTTCTGGGAGTTATACACTGTGCAATATGGGAGAATCTCAGAGGAGGATGGCTGGTCAGCTGTAGCCTGTCACAGTGAGATTGGATGGGAAGAGAAGAATAAAAATACTGGGTTTTGGGACAAGTTGAAATTTAGTATTAATGAGATTAAGCTAATGGAAGGTTTTATTATATACTACATTATATCAAACTCCTAAATCTAGTACTAAAGTTCTAATGCATACCAAAATAACTTATTTTAGGAAGTAGTTCTATACATTCATTAAATTCAATTTATAATCAGAGTTCTATTTTTATCACCTCCCCTTTTATTTGAGTACCCTCAAAAAAAATCCTAACTATTCTTCATCGAATTTTCTCTTCTTCTAATTGCTGTAGTTATATTTTGATATAACTAAAATAATGGCATTCAATTAATACAGCTCTTCTTTCTGAAAATTAATACAAAATACTAGTATTATACTTTTTATAAATCAATAATTATTTAATACTATCTTATCTCTTTTTTTTACTTACATATTGTGCAAAACTGAATATCCATAGGCTATAATGTTTTGGGAGTGGCTGGGCAGAGGAGATGAGCAAGTAACTTGCCTTATAGTCAAAATGGTATTTGGATTAAAATGTTTCAGTTAACTAAGCTCTTTACAACCAGACGTCAGAAAACTACAGCCTGTGGGGCAAGTCTATGGCCAGTTTTGCAAATAAAATTTTGTTGAAACTCATCCACGTTGGTTCCTTTCATGAAGCAACAGCAGAACGCAGTCATTGATGAGAGACCTACAAGGCAGAAGATAGCTACGTTCCGACCCTTCATAGAAAGGTCTGCTGACCACTGATCTCAACTTTACATGAAGACAGCAATTAGCAAATAGTAGTAGAGTTATGCTGAAATTCAGTATAAATATTTGTAGAAATGACTCTTAAAGAAATGTTGTTGAGAGCTTTAACTTTTTAGGTCTTTTGGAATCCAGGTTACCACGCCATACCTGTGAGGTAGATCCCTCTTGTAGTCTGCCAGAGTATGTTTTCTGCTCAAGAATATATAGAATCATCCTTGTACCTTGTGAAAGATTAATAAATTACATGTTGGTCCCGGAGTTGGGGTATGATTTTAAGTAATGGAGAATACTGGCAGCATCTTCTGGACCTCACCATCCTAATCTGCACCCATACCTAATATCCGGTGACCCAAAAGACTGTCAGATGTTGAATTTGGATTTTTATTTGTTTCAGTTCATAAAGTGGACTGTCCATTGCTCTAAACTTATTAGATAACTTATCTATGACAATTTACAAACCACTGTGTATACATATTAAGAATCTATTAAAAGCATTTAGGCACATAGAAAAGAAAAAAATACCTGAACACTAGTTGTAAAGACTGAAATATAAGGCTCTATCCTGGATCATTCAAACGCCATGAAATGAGCAGGAGAATTATGTTCTTGTTTGCTTTTTAATGTAAACTCCTAAGTCATATCTTTAAGATAAACCAATCCTAGTTTATAAATTAAGCCTGATTATTTAGAAATTAGTAAAATTTTGTAATATGAGTTTGGGTTAATAGAAAATGCATGGACTGTGGAGAAAGATGGACCCACATTTGAACTCTAGCTCCTTCCTTTTCTAGCATTTCAAATGAAAGTGAGTGACCTAACCTTTTGAGCTCTGGCTCATTAGACATAATGATACTCATGCCATATGGTGGCTATGATGATTAAATGATTCCTGTGAGGCTTAAATTTGAAAACAGATACTTAGCACATAGCAGGGATAAGTAAATGTAGGTTATTTTCACTCTTTCTAGTGTCTTTGATTTTCCAAGAATGAAAATAGTTGGTAAACCCAGTTAATCAACATCATTAGCATAATATTAAGCTGAGCTCACAACCAAACAGTGTTTCATACCTGAAAACATATATTTGGTGTTTCAGTCTGAAAACACGTACTTAGGCATCAAATATATAAATGTTTGGGGGTATATTTGGGAGACATTGGTTTTTACTATTCCGATTTATCAGAAATGATAGTATACTGAAAATATAGTGGTATTAGCACTAATAAAATATACATTTTGACTTAGCTTCTATCTTAAAACCATAATGTTCCACCTATGTGCAATCAAACTAGACCAAATGGGTTATAAAAATGGACATCAGTAGTTTGTGCTAATAAGAACACTTCAGAGAAAATTCTATTCCATCTGAAAAATATTGAAATGTTAAAAGCAATATTTTACTAGTATACTAAAAATACACACCTGTTAAAGATCTTTACCAAATGTTCCATCCATTTTATAATTGACGTTTCCACCAGAATTTTTTTTTTACTGGAAAATGCAATATAACTATATCGTCTTTGCTTTTGAACACCTGTCTCTTTGTTTTCATTAAAGTTGCAAGTCACTCTCTTTCTGTTCTGACTTTCTACTGTCCATAGACATCTCAGTCACCAGTGTCTTTGATCTGATCGCGGCTTTTATTTGTCATCCCACATACGAAGACCAGCTCACCAGGACGAGATCCACAGCAGAGTGAGGCCACCAGCACCATGTTCTGTACAAAGCTGAAGGATCTCAAGATCACAGGGGAGTGTCCTTTCTCATTACTGACACCAGGGCAGGTTCCTAAGGAGCCGGCAGAAGAGGCAGCAGGGAGCTCAGAGAGCTGCAAAGCCACTCTGCCCGTCTGTCAGGATGTTCCTGAGAAGAATGCACAAGGAAGTCTTCCGAAAAGAAAGACCAGTCGGAGCCGAGTCTACCTTCACACCTTGGCTGAGAGCATCTGCAAACTGATTTTCCCAGAGGTGAGTGCTTGTCCTTTCATGATTTTACTGCTACTTTGAAAACTGGTTTTTTTTTGTTTTTTGTTTTTAGCTTTTCTAAGGAAAATGTCAACACTTGCTTTCTCACTTTCAAGACTCTGATAGATGTAGCATATTTTCTGGAAACATACAAAAACATTCTTTTAAAGCAATCATATTCTTAAATTGTATTTATCTTAAAATGTTTAACATCTTGAATTCTTTTAGAAACTGTCTTGCATTCTGGCAAGCTTTATAATTTTGAGTGACTGCTTAGTTCCTTAGCATCAGCTTTGTCTGTGAAATGAAAACAATAATAGTCTCTACATTCTAGTGTTTTAATGATCATGAAGTGAAATGATCCATACCTCTTGCCATAACATAAATGCCTAGTAGTTGTTCACTATTATCTTAAAATTAACTTCCTTGAAGAATAACTTGCTTTCTGCCATGTTCTCTTCTTCCAACTCAAAGAACTTCATGCATCACCTAACAATTTGTTGGGGTGGGAAAATCTCCCTAGTCTTGCTAGTTCTCAGTCTGAAATCTCTGCTCAAGCCAGGCCTGACCTGATCTTTTGGGTCAGAGTCATGGTCCTGTGATCACCCACGCCTGTGTTGTTACCTCAGGAACTTCTTGAAATAGCTCCGCGAGCTGTGTAGTCTAGTGCCATTTTGAGATAGGGAGCACCTTCTTGGTCAAATATCTTAGGAATGGAAGGGGCATGTAAAGAGCTCCCCTCCTCCTGTACAGCTAAAAAGAACAGCAGCTGACTGTGTTCATGATGTCCTTCTCCCTTTATCAGTGTTTAGTTTTATAGAAACTCACTTAACCTATGAATTTGGACATTGATGTAGTTAGACTCCAGCTACCGTCATCTGCTGGTAATTTTTAACTGACTCAGTACCAAAGCACTGAAAAACCACAGACTCACTGACTTTTAGCACTTAAAGGAACTCCAGAGGTAATCTTGTTTCCCTCCCAAGGACTAGGGGAGTTCAGTAACTTGACCAAAGTCACATAGTGTTTGAAGGGTAGAGCAATTACTGCTGTCAAGCAGCCCACTCAGGGTTTGAGTGACTGAGAAAGAAGAGACTTGAATTGACACTTGGAACATGGATAAACTAGAATGAGCAGAAAGTGAAGGAACTTATTTTAAATATAATATTACCACCATAGAACTTTAGTTAATAACCTTTGAAATAAAACCATCTAATTATTCTCATACTATGCTAGTCACTAGACAGCCAGCTTTGGCTGGGATGAAGGATGTAGCTCTTGTCAGAGAGTTGGATGGCATCACAGTCTGGGAAGTGGTTGGGACTCTCATTTCCAAAGACAGAGTGTGGTGCCCAGGGAGGAACAGATGGTGACGACGGGGAAGTTGGACGTCCTCCACACTTCTTCCAAGTCTCGTTGTTATTGTGTCAGCTTCATTGTTTTGTTTGATAGATTTTCAGAAGTCATACACATGTTAAAAAATTCCAAATACCAATATAAATATTTTACTTTTTTCTTTGTATTTGTTTAGAATAATCTGTGTTGTTGGTGAACTCATAGGAGTAATTGTTGAGGTTTGACTATGCTGTCAATGGAGCAGATGGTGAAGGCAAGGCTATAAGAATGCTAACAGGCATCATTTCTTGGCATTCTGGCTAAGATCAAGGAACACTTTTAAGAGGCAGAAGGAGTATAGTTGGCTTTGTTGACTGGAATCCCTCTTTGACAACTGAGGCCATTTGCCTTATGACAAAAAAGTGTCATCGTGTTGGCTACCCTTGTACTGTGTAAAAATAATCTAGATTATTTCACCAACTGTGCAAACATCTGCATATCTTCAATTAAATAGAACTTTTTAAGTTTTTAAGTAGACATTTACTCCTTATTATACTGTTTAGTTTCATTGTATCAATACTTCAAAGAAAGAGACTCCAAATACCATTTGACAGCATCATAGTTTTCATTTTAGAAAATCAGATTTAACTTCCAAGTTCATGTTTTTATGGAGGACAAATATTAAAATTTATTATCCATGGCAAATCCAAAATAGGAGATTTCATTCTAAAGTAGTGAAATAAATGGGACCCAAAAAGACCTTATTGGTCATCTAACTCAAATTTCTCTTCTGTTTGAAGAAATGAAGGCAATAAATTTAGGGCGCTTGCTTTTAGTAAAAGAGATAACTGGAGAAATGAAAAGGTCTGTGCATCTTATTCATATTTTATTGCTCTTTTTATTACAATATTGTTTGCTCATTTTTCATGACTGTTGCTCCCCTAAAATCCTGTATACTCTTCAGGCACAGTGTCTTTAGGAGCTTGCAATGTAGTATTAGCCACAGTTTTAAAACATCAGAACCCACTTACTGGACTGAATCAATTAAATCAAACATGCTTAAATAGATGATATTACTCTAAGTTAAAGATCTCACGAGACCAAGTGGATCTGAGAAGAACTGTGAAGTTTCTAGATATGTTTCAATACAGTGGGTTTCAAGGAGAAAAAAAGAAACAGAATTATAATTTATCCTTAAGAATTGAGATAACTTCGGTTTAGAAAAAGTATTAAAAACTGTAGAAAAGTTGAAAATCAACTAAAATAGTTAAACCATACTAAAAAAATTTCATCCATTCAGTGTTCATGGCAGTAATACATCAAATGACAGTTATACCAGAAGTATTAATGTACAGTGTATTTTTCAGGGATACACTTGTTTTAACAATGAACACATATCTACCCTTCATCAAGTCAAAAATAATTGTTAAGAGGAACAAACTCAAGAACAAACAGGATTTACTTTGGGGGACAGGCAGTCCCTCCATGAATCAGAGATTCCATGATCCACAACCCTTCAGGGTCTAAGGATTGTGTATATAAGCAGAGTCCAATTCCCCAAAACTCAAAATAGAGGCTTTCCCAAGTAAAAGGGAGTTTGAGTGCGGGGCAAGTAAAGATCTACCGGAGACTACCATGTCTACTGCATATTTGTGTGTGTTGGATTATAGGGGATTAATTTTAAAGGAAATATTTATTTTAGCCCTAAAATTCCATACTAAACTGAAGATCAATATACAGAATTGTTGGGATGTGTAGCATCTGACTGACCCGCCTAGAGTCTTGTCGTGGCTGATTGTACATCATGAGGCCCTGACATTGGCTGTGGATGACAGGTCTCACTCATAGTTGAGTCCTGCCCATCACACTATGGGCTTGTGTCACCCCAGTATCTGGACTCAGGATATATTACAGGAGCTACAGGGCCAAAGCAGGAAACTATGCCCAACAGCCTTTACAGATAAACGTTTTGCCAGAAAAGTTTGTGGGTTTGGTTTTGTTTTGTTTCTTTGAACTTAATAATACTTTTCCGGAGAAGAAATGGTATATTATGAAAATAGCTACAAAAGTCTGTTAACTCATCATTATCACTAGATTATACTACTAAAGCTTTCCTAGGACTTGAGCACCTTTGTCTTTTTAGAAAATCAAGTTCTGATTTAAAATGGAAAGTCAGGAATACCACCAACCCCAGGAGTGGGGACATGGACCATTTCTCCTCCTCCTTACAATGACAGCATTTACATCACATGGAAAGGACTAGAAAAAAAGTTCCTGTTGAGTGTGGGAAGGAAATAAGAGGCCAAGAAGGAGCTTGATTGCAAAGGGTAGAAGAGTGTGTTGGTTTAATCAGGAAGATAAGGACGGAGAGAATGTCTCCAGTAGCATTCAGGAGGAGGAAGAAAATACTATTTATTTTTATTTTTTTCAAGTATAGTTTATATTCAACATTATTTTGTGTTAGCTTGAGGTGTACAGTATAAAAAGGAAAAAATCTTCAGGTGCGGAATTGGATGGGTTTTCTTTTTTCATTGTCAGAAGTTTCTGGTCAGAGTAACAATTCATATACAAACAAACATAATTCAAATTATTTTAAATTAGAAACAATCTAAATTTATTTATAAGCAAGATAAAGAATTGCACCTCTGTACTTGGGTCTCTTGCTTCACTGGTATAATTTTGCAAATGAGGTCTTCATGTCTTTGAATGCTGATGGGGAGTATTATTTATTCATTCATTCATTCCACCAATATGTATTGAGAATCTCCTACGATCATGTACTGTTGTAGGGGCTGGACATAGTGGTGAACAATACAGGTATTCTCTGCCCTTTAGGAGATTCACCTCTAGTGAAGACAAATGATAATAATTAGGTCAGGTAGCAAACGCATGAAGCAAAAGTGAGAGCTTGTGAGCAAAGGCAATGATGTTCATTTTATTAATGAGCCCTTTGCCCATCTGTGTATGTTTTCAGGAATAAAGAACTCACAAAACCTATGCTTTCGTGAGTTTTAATCCACTTGATTATGCTGGTGTTATGAATGCGAGAGTAACTTCCAACCAAGTAAAAGGCCCCCAAGAAACTGAAGCTTTTCAGGCATCTGGGCTAATCCACTCCATTTAGAGTCTTCTAGTTAATGTCTCTCCTTCCTTAACATAAAAAGCCACAGAGAAGCATGCTCATTCTTTCCCTTCTGAACATGTTTCCCTCCTGCCAAGCGTCCCGCCCTCTGCCGTCATATAGGTCCCCAACTTTGCTTCCACTCTGCCCACCGATACGGCTCCGGCCAGCCTTTCTTTCATTCAGAAGCACACGTATCCTCCCTCTCCTTATCAGAACAGTCAGAAAAGTTGCTCTACATTGTAAACTTGTTTTCTTTTATTCTTTTTCAGCACTTGTGTTTTTTTCAGTGACGTTCAAATTTCTTTTATCAGCTCTATAATGCACATTAAAATGCAAAGTCCTTTTTGTAAGTTATTAGCTGAATTTCTTAAAACAGAAGCTTGGCCTAGTTTGCTGAACTCCACTGCCTGCCTGACTTGACCAGTGGAAACTCAGAAAGATATAAATAGTTCTTAAGGAGAAAGGAATTTACCAACTTGGAACATAGCCAGAAAATTCTTCACTTTTCTCTGGGTAAACTACAAAAAGAGTCAGCAGTTACGTACACCCATGTAGATACATAGAAGTTTTACATGGAAGGCAAAAGAATTAGCAGCACTGCTTACCAATGCTCCGCATCTCCTTATTAACGAGGGACAGCAAGCAGTTAAGAAAGATTCATAGATAGTCAGCAAGTATTTAAAATATGGTGGCTTATATGCAATACCTTACAGTATAGAAAAATTCATGAAATCCATAAAAAAGTAAAACTATAAGTGTTTGGTGAGGATTATTAGTTTAAAGAAAAAAAACATGAGTACAAATTAGGGAAAATCCAAGATATGTTTCAAATCAATGATCAGCTGATCTTTGTGACAGATTGTAATTAAGGAATGAAAAGAGGGGAAAGATAGAGACAGTGCCAGAGTTTTCTAGACCAGGAGATGTAAACGATACAGGAAACATAAATTTGCATTTGGAGTTAAGGGCAGAGAGTCACTGGCGTGGCTGGTGTAGAATTTGTGAAAGGTGTGGGGACCAGCTTGGCTGGAGCCATGCTGACATGGGGTCCTGGCAGCACACCCGAGGGGTTTCCTGGCCCAGAGGAAGTGATGCTCAGGACCCCCTCACGGGAGACCTGACGTTACCAAACCGGCGTCTTCTATTCAGATTCCAACTCACCTGACCTTGTTCTGTGGTTGTCAGTGAGAAGATCACCCAAGACCAAAGCTTGTGGTCCAGAACCCACATCCAAACTCAAATTAGTGTGAGCTCATTGTTTTTTCCCAAGTCCGAAAAACCCATGGAAAATCAATCCCACTTTCCAAAGTATAAATCCACAACACTTCTCATTGTGATAATAATGTATCTGCTTCTTTAGGAGAAACTTTCCAGACAAATGTTTAAAATATGTATCTTCAAGTACATTATTACTTAAGAGAATGTTTACAACTTTTCTTTTCGATTTTCAGTTTGAGCGTCTGAACCTTGCACTCCAGAGAACATTGGCAAAACACAAAATAAAAGAAAGCAGGTAAATTGAACCTCTTTAGTTGTATGAACTTCTTATTACCATCACCAATACCACCATCACTAAGCTCATGTTGATGTAAGGTGTTTAGAATTTGATAGGGGGTTAGGAAAAGGCAGACCTGAGTTTCCAACCTGGGCATTTCAGAGCCCATGATTTTAACCATGTTGCCATATCCTGCTGCTTTTAACAAGCTGCCAGAGGCCTCTTCTTGCCTCCTGAGGCATAATTTCTAAAGTACTTTACAGGGAAGGCATGGATACCAAACACTCAGGCACACTCCTTGCCCGAAAAACACTGCTAAAGGGTTGGAACAAGGTTCTGGAGTTCTCTCTTCCCCCACTTCGGCCCTTTTCCCCGGGTTAGACTTTTAGGTGCTGCATCAGGAGGAGATGAATGGGATAGAATGGGGGGTTGACTTGGGGCACTTGGAGCAGCGACTATTAATCCTCAGGGTAGTATTTCAGTTTCTTCACATCCTGTTTGGTTATGCTGGTGTGTGCACTGATATCAGTTATGTTTGCAGTTTTTTTCTTAACACTGTGTCTTTGAAATTTTCATTAAACTAGCTCTCCGCAGAGACTTCATATATAAGGTGATATTTAAAAACATTCTGATTTATAGCATCAATTTTTCAAATATATCTTGGCACAGTTATTGCTGGTAGATAACTGCATTTGGCCTTGTTTTTGATTCTGTGAAATCCCAAGAGTTATTTAATCCGCAAATGATAGAACATGTACTTGAGTTTAAATTTACAGAACTGAACATGGAAGTTTTGCAAACTGGTACCATTGTCAGAAATATTTTATAAATGCATTCATCTCCCTACTGCTCATGAGTGAATAATCTGTTTTGTGGGTTATCTGCGTGTAATTTTCCCTGCTGACTAACTGGCCCCAGACTGCAGGCAGTGAGCTGCCAAGCAGGGGTCACTGACGGGTTCAGAGGGAGAGAGTGTGAACCCCTGTGTCTGACAGGAGCTTTGTTTACATGAGCGATATGCTGAGCCTTCCAGAACACCTCTGACCTTCGTTCTCAGTCGGGTGATAAGATAACCCCAAGTCAGTGTAGCTGCGCTACTGTGTCTGTCTGCTGAGACCCTTGGCAGCCAGTTCCCACAAAATTTATTCTTAGGGCTTTGTGTTCTAAAATGTTTTTAAAGCTGGATGGATACAAACATTCCATTAGGATGTTTTCCCAGCAGTGTATCTCTTTTAAAAATCTCAAAACTCAAAAGATACATATTTTATTTGCAAATCTTGAAAAAAATCTTTAACCATTTCCTTGACTTCTTACAGAGCTGGTCATACTTTTAAATTGTCCTAGTGGTAATTATTCAGTTGTGGAAATAAGACGAGGGCCCTTTTTCTCTCATAAGAGTGCCCGTTGGTCTGCCAAATGGCTACTCTCTTCTTTGCCTCCTTAGATTCTTGGGTACGCTCTTTGTTTCTGGGTTCCCCCCATCTTTTTGTCAGGGTAACTGCCATTTTTACTATTCTCCTGTTGCCAATTGCTGAACATACCTTACTCCTTTTTGCAGACTACTTAGTATCTATGTAACTTGAAAAGAAAAATACTAATATGTTAAATAATAAACTGTCCCTAAATGGAAGACTGGAGTTCACCATCTATTCTTTAAGTGAATGAGTTTAAGTAGAATCATTCTGGTAACTCCCTGGGGTGGTTGCAGGTAGAGCCTTTGTTTTGTTTCTTTTTCTAGGACCTTTTGTTCACATTATCATGTGTATGGACTCATGGCTGATGTGTGTGTGTGTGTGTGTGTGTGTGTGTGTGTGTACTTGCTGGTACATATACTGACTGATAACTCCTTTTCTGAAGATAAAGATAGGGAACTTCTTTTGGATTACACTAAGAGCTATTTAACTCACTTTGCTCCTATCTCATATCATGGGTGCTGGAACTGGCAGAATTATAATTCTCTTAGAAGATTTGCTCTCATCCTTTACAAAAAATAGAAGTTATTTAAAAAGAAGCAAGTCTAAAGACTGACTAACGTAAAATAATAAACATCGAGGGGGTTAGTGATGAAAGGATAGACTACGGGTGGTGAGCAAACAACAGAGTAGACAGATGTTGTGAGGTATTATAAAGAAGTTCTATTCATCAGGGTGCTTGAGGGTCTCTAAAGTCAGCTAGATAATGCCATTGAGTGCTCCTCAACCCACTTAAATAAGAAAATATTTCCACCTGCTATTTTAAATAATTGTAAGCAATATACCTTTATGTGATAAAGTAGTGGATTAAGCAATTTTCCTTCTTGAAAATATTTTCTTTTGAAACTGCTCTACATGTATCAGGTTCTTGGAAGCCTGTTAAAAACTGTGGCTTTATGCCTGTTTGTGAACCTGGCTTGTCTCATGGCAAACTGAACCACAAGCAGAACTTGGGTATCCTTTACTTTGCTTCCAGAGTTTGGCAAAGTTGCTCATACTTGGTCATCACTATCAAGAATCATCACCAAAAGTTCAGCAGACATAAATCAGCAAGTTTTCTAGTTGAAATTATCAGAGCCTCTATCAGCCAAAATGTTTGCCATTATATTATCAACTTCTATGCTATAGAAACCAGTGCACTAAGTGAATAGATTTCTTTAGCCACTCAGTTTTATACAAGATCAAGGATAAAATTTAATGTAAAGATATCTGAGAGTTAAGTAGACCGGATTTATTGTGTATTTGCTTTAGAAAAAAATAAGGATACTTAAAAGTGGCATTTATTGATGTGTTGGTTTTTCTTCTTGACTGGGTTTTCAGAAAAACTCGAACCCCTTGATGTATATTCGGAAAAACTCTGGGCAGCTTTATCACTGTCCATTTCATATTCCTGGTTCCCTGCCAGTGTAGGTGGCCATGGCATTAGTCTAAGTGAAGTTCAGTTGAAAGGTAAGTACTTCATAAGAAATGCCGGAACACTTTGTATCGGGTATATTGGGGGTTTCCTAATGTTGTTCTGAGTTGTACACATCACTGCTCCTTTCCCACAAACTTGATAGTCAAGCTTTGCCTCTACAGAAAAGGTAATTGAAATGATTATTTGTCATAACTTGTTATAATATGAAGTATTAGCATTCATTTGTCAGTTTATAATTTAAGATATTGAAATAATTTCAGAAAATCTGTGGAAAGAGAAGACTTTGAAAAAATAATTGCAGACCAAGCACTTGCTGCAGGTAATATGAATGTTTAAGTATATGTGATTAGGAAATAATTATAATTTTAGAACTGCCATTTTACTAGTAAACTAATATTCTCTATTAGTAAAAAATACCTACTCGTGGAAGTTATATTTTCTCCTAAAATATTTATTTATATTTGCTAGTGAGTTCCAGTGTGAAGTGTTCAATGTATTGTATTAGCATAAAGGATAACTCTTTTCCATCCTATATATTTTTGTTTGATCTAAAATATTTCCTCTTCTTATGATGTTTATTTGCTGAGAATTAGATACGACTACAGGGAAATCTGACTCATAGACATTCACAACTTTGGTCTTGATGTCAACTAAGGATTCCTGGTTTGTGCAGGAAAAATACTCTTCAGCAAAGTAAAACAAAAACAAATTTAAAAGGCTCAAAACAATTATGGGAAAAGGGGTTACCGGTGTTTTCATATTGATACTTACTTTAGAAAGACAAGTAGATGAGTAAATTTGTTTTACTGTCCTTTCACGGTTTGAGTACATAGCCCAACAAATTAAGTTTTTCTAAAAGTGTAAGATACTAAGATTGTAATAATAACAATCCTGGTGAATACGGCTAATTATATTGAGCCCTCTTAGAAGCAGGTACTATTCTAAACATCTGCCCCACAAGTCACAGGAGTGCTATGAAAAGGGCACTCTTTCTTCCTCAGTTACAGATAAAAAAAATTGATGGTGCACAGAGTTTAAAGAATAAAGGAGGTTGGGGAAGAAGGTGTAGAAAGTAATATATTCCAAACACATATTCATTAGAGTAACATTAACCAATGAGGAGGATATTATACTCAGAGAAAATTGCTTTGTATTATCTCTTAAAAAATGATGAAGTTGAGTTTCGCGACCAGCGATTTCAAATTAATGCTTGTGTCTGAAGCTCATTCTCCTTGCAGGAGGCCCTGCAAGGGGGGTAGTGCCTCTCCGTGAGGACAGACTGGTTTTGTTGTTACTGAGGTGGAAGGGCTTTTCCTGAAAGGGACCTGGCCATGTAGTTCTACTTGCTCTTTTATAGCTAAGTTTTTTAGGGAGATAGAAGTTGTACATTAGACTCAATTGATCATTCTTTTTTAAATAAGTGATTTGGGATTTTTATTCAAAGTTATCAGAATTTTAGTAACTAATCTGTACAGATAATTTGAATATAGACGGTTAATTTGGATTGGGACTCTTATTATGATATATAAAAGGAACTAAATCATCAAATAAAACAATGTTGATAGTAGTAGTGACATCACAAACATGCCAGAAAATGTGAATCTGTGCTTTCAGGAGTTCCTGAGGAGATCATCAAAGAATCTCTCGGTGAAGAGCTTTTCAAAATATGTTATGAGGAAGATGAACACATCCTGGGTGTGGTTGGAGGGACCCTCAAAGATTTTTTAAACAGCTTTAGCACGCTCCTGAAACAGAGCAGCCCCTGCCAAGAACCAGAAAAGAAGGGCAGGCTGGAGGACGCGTCCATTCTCTGCCTGGATAAAGATCATGATTTCTTAAACGTTTACTATTTCTTTCCTAAGAGGACCACATCCTTGATTCTTCCCGGCATCATTAAGGCAGCAGCTCATATCTTGTACGAAACAGAAGTGGTAGTGTCGTTAATGCCTTCCTGTGTCCGTGATGACAGCAGTGAGTTCGTGAATCAGCCCTATTTGTTATACTCGGTTCACGTGAAAAGCACCAAACCATCCCTGTCCCCAGGCAAACCCCAGTCCTCACTGGTCATCCCGGTTTCTCTCTTCTGTAAGACATTTCCTTTCCATTTCATGTTTGACCACGACATGACAATTCTGCAATTTGGCAATGGGATCAGGAGGCTGATGAACAGGAGAGACTTCCAAGGAAAGCCTAATTTTGAAGAGTACTTTGAAATTCTGACTCCAAAAGTCAACCAGACGTTTAGCGGAATCATGACTATGTTGAATATGCAATTTGTGGTCCGAGTGAGAAGATGGGACAACTCTGTGAAGAAATCTTCAAGGGTAAGAGAAACATAGTAGAATTTTGAATATGAAATCAATTATTTCATATTCAGGACCAGGAACAAAAAACAAGGCACAAATACACATGTATTGCTTCAAATGTTTTGAGAAAACAATTCTAAAATACTTTTAAGGCTGGAATAAATTGAAAACAAGATTCTCTCTGCATGCACTTCTTCGTGACCCTTACTTCACAAGGATTCAATGAATGCAGTCTGCCTTTTAAAATCTTTATGAAGCATTTTATAACTAAATTATAAAAATATTTATATAAAATATTTTTTTCAATCATGAAATAATGGCCTTAATTTTCAATAAGAGATATTTTTCTTAACAAACACAAAAAACTACTTTTTTGTAAGGTCCAACTAAGTGGGTTTTTAATTTAATATGTAATAAACATGGAAGAAATCAATAACTGGTTTAATTGTTAAAGGATGGGTGGGGAAAATATTCTGTCACCTCATGGTAGAGGACTTTGGTAATCATTTACTCTTAGGATACAAAGTTTGCTAAATCACAGTTGATAGCACAGCAAAACTAATAGAGAGGATTAGAATGCATGTAAATTTTAGTCATGCATAACGTCGGCACACATACTGTTCCCCAAATTGCAAACAGCTTTATTATTTTTATCATAAAACATATAGGTAAATGTTTTCAAAAATTGGTAACTGTAGTAAAAAAAATCAAAGACATAACTTACGCGCATGTTGGTTTAAAACAAAAAAAGTACTATTTATAACTTCCATTTTATCACTAAAAACATTTTGGGCATCCTTCCATTAAATTAGATATAAGCCTATCTCACTTTTCAAAGGCTGCGTAGAAGCTCATTGTGAGGTTTTCCTCTGTTTAACCATCTCCTGTTGAAGGGCGTTGGGTTGCTTCCGACTCTTTGTGGCAGTGAACACACATGCACGTATCCACCCCTACTCATCTGCTTCAATTGTGTGATCCTGGGTGGTCTCTTGAAGCAACACCTTTCTTAGGCCTCCCTTGGAACAATTATTTCTCCTGGCTGCTACTGTCGGAAGAATGTAGTAAGTGGCAGCATGCCGCTTACTGAGAAAGCCTTGAAGAAAAGAATTATTTGCATTGTTTATTGAGAGTTAGGATTTATATGTAGAGTATACTCTTTGGATGCCTGCATTCATTTTAGAACAAATAGTAAGAACTGTAAGAATGCATATTGTTCTAGGTCAGCATGTAGAAAAAATCGAGTTGAATACAAAAGGATTATCACTGTATCTACTTCCTCTCCTTTTGTCTCAAAAAGGTGTTGGGAACTTGAGTAAACCACAGGAACTGGTTCTCCTTTGCTTCACAGGTTATGGACCTCAAAGGCCAAATGATCTACATCATTGAATCCAGTGTGATCTTGTTCTTGGGGTCTCCCTGTGTGGACAGATTAGAAGATTTTACAGGACGAGGGCTCTACCTCTCTGACATCCCGATTCACAATGCACTGAGAGATGTGGTCTTGATAGGAGAACAGGCTAGAGCTCAAGATGGCCTTAAGAAAAGGCTGGGAAAATTGAAGGCTACCCTTGAGCAAGCCCACCAAGCCCTGGAGGAGGAAAAGAAGAAGACAGTTGATCTCCTGTGCTCTATATTTCCCTCCGAGGTGGCGCAGCAGCTGTGGCAAGGGCAAGTGGTGCAAGCCAAGAAGTTCAATAACGTCACCATGCTCTTCTCAGACATTGTCGGGTTCACTGCCATCTGCTCCCAGTGCTCACCGCTGCAGGTCATCACCATGCTCAATGCTCTCTACACGCGCTTTGACCGGCAGTGCGGAGAGCTGGATGTCTACAAGGTAGGGCTGGAGTGGGGCAATGACCGTTTTTCCATGTAGAAGTCACTGAAAAAGCACAGCTAGGATCTGAGTGATAATGCAAACAAGAGGCTGTCTCAGCAGGGCCATCCTGGGAGTGAGTGTTGTGCATTAATCAAGGGGGTATCTGCCGGCCAGAAATAGCTCAGAATATGCTCAGAAACAGATAATGATAAGATGAAAAGACTGCCAAGTTGTCTTCTCAAGGCATAGGCACAGAATGGTGGGATGATGGACTGAGTGGGGAATGGGGTATAGGACCCATGATCAGGTGAAATTTATATATAAGTCAGTGAACCCTACACTTGACTATGAAAACTGAGTTATTAAGCATCATACAATTCAAAGTATGGCTTGTACAGGAAAAATGTTCCCTTTGTATCTATAAAAGTAAAGAAACGTGAGGATTATACAAATTGTATTTGAGTAGATTAATTCATACAGAGTCAACATGCTACTTTTTATGTGTCATGTTGATACATACAAAGTGTATCATGTTGGCCAGTTAGAAGAAATCCCAATTACCTACTTAAGGCATCATTGTGGAGTGGCCATGGGTAGAGAGAGAGGCCTGAATATAAGAGGTCTGTCTTCAAATTCTGTCTCTATGTAACATGCTTTGTAAGCTGAGGAAGTTAACCTTTCTCATTTCTGAAACAGAGAAAATATCCATCCAGAGGTTACTATTGCATGAACAACATAAATCATGTCCTGCAATCTTGCTGAACAAGCTTGTTGTACATGTCACGGTAAATAATATCTGTTTTTCATCAGGTAGTAGGATTGAGTGCCTAGGATGTAGCAGGCATCACTCCAGGCACTGGGGATGCACAGGATTGTCCCCAACCTGTAATAAGCTACTGTTCAATTGCAACTATTATCGAAAAGAGAACTCCTGAAGCGATTTCATGTTCTGACTGTTTTTTTTAAGAAGTAAAACATATTTTTTTACTGATTGAAAGTATTTTGCATTGTTTTAGACATGAGCATTAATAAGAGAGCGTGCTTCTCACTTGTGTGGCTTGAATCGTCTCCTAATCATCCACATAATCTGGAATTTTAGAGTTTAACTCAACACAAAATAGATGATTGAGGAGAAGACAAATTATTTATGGGAATATGAAAGCCCTTTTTAAAATCTAGATGCTGGAAGTTAAAAAAAACTTCCTTTTAAAAATTTCTAACAGGAAATTCCAGATAGAGCTGTGATCCCTTGGGACACAAATAGGTCCATGGATAATTACAGATAAAATAATTGGCTTTGGTTAGGTTAAGCTTGATGGCCTCTGGTGGAATTCAGTGTATTTATTTGTAGACAGTATCTATCTTGAGAATGTCTCCTTTCTCAGAATTGTGAGAAGGAATTCTTGCTGTTCTTTGGAAACTGCTCTGATTGATAGCAGAAGATGCTGTTCTCTTCTTCAGGCTGAAAAAACGTGGTTATTTCTGGCGAGTATTTAGAATCAAGCCTCCTGACTACTGGAGTTACAGCTCAAACCTGTCAATTGCCTTCCTTCCCAATCCTCATATCTGCCTTCTGTCCATTCATGATTTTTCATGAAAATACCTGGAGATGGCCATCAATGCATAAGGGTCTTCCCCATAAAATACATTTAAGATACACAGAACACAGTATCATAGGCTGACATAGAAGTGTCATGGCTTCCAAGCAATAGTCAAGTTTATTTATGCAGGGATCTGATCGTGCCTGGACTTTATTTAATTTTATTTTTTCTCTTTCAATTATTTTGTCATGTGTTCGCTTTAGTATTTATTTATTAATCATTTAAGCATATATCTATTGGTTATCTAGCATTTTCCAGCATGGGTGGCACAATGCTTGTGAGAAGAGTTGACATACATTCAGGGGGGTGTTGGTGGTGGCGATGACAAATGCTGTATTCCCATATGACATGATGAAGGCCCCATTTCACTCAAGTCTGTACAGAGGGTCATAATAGCACAGAGATTAGGCACCTGACTCCAAGTAGAGGTGAGGGTACAGCTTCTCCTAATTAGTAACATTTATTGAGCACCTGTGATATGTTAACCTCTCTGTTAAACACTTCTTATGCATTCACTGTTGAGAAAAATCTGATGGGAGGCATTGCTACCTGGTTCATTCATTGGTGAATATACCAGGCACTGGTGATGTAGGAGTTAATAGAACAGACAAACTCAGAGAGCTTACATTCTACTGGAGGAAAGAATGGCAATTAACAAATGAGTAAATTTATAGCATTTCATGTGGTGTAATATTCTGGAGGAAAATATAAAGCAAGTTGAGGGCAATTGTTATTTCATAGAGGGTGGCCTTTCTCCTAAAGTGATGTTTTATGGGGGCTGAAGGAAATGAGGAACAAACCAAGTGGTTGTCTGCAGTAATATTATTCCTGGCAAAGACCTAGCAAGTGAGAGCATGTTTGGTATGTGTGAAGGAAAACAGGAGAGGCCAGTGGCATTGAGGCAAAGTGAGCAATAGGGAGAATTACCAGGTAAAGTCAGCAATGAGCAGAGAGGCAGGTCAAGAAGAACTTTGGGCATGCTGTAAGGGTTTTGGCATTTATTCTGAGTGAAATTGCAAATTATTGTAGGTTTATGTATCTTTTCTTCCTCACTTCCATTTCTCCACCCTGGAAGTTTTGCATAAGAAGAATGAGATGATCTCATAAGTGACAATAAATATTCAGAGGAGAGGAAAAAGACAGCCATTACAATTTGGTGGATTTAAATTTGTTGGTAGCTTTTCACAGCCAGTATCACAGAGAACACCGATATTTTCACTATGTGATTCATAACTTCTGTTATATGTTATACACTGTGACTCTTCCTGAGCTTGAGAAATGTGTTATGTGTAGGTGGAGACCATTGGCGATGCCTATTGTGTGGCCGGGGGATTGCACAGAGAAAGTGATACCCATGCTGTTCAGATAGCGCTGATGGCCTTGAAGATGATGGAGCTCTCTGATGAAGTCATGTCTCCCCATGGAGAACCTATCAAGGTAAAGTGGATCATATCTTATTCAGGAAATGAGAGCAAATGCTTATTAGTTATCAAAAGAATGGTGTATTAGTCAGGGTTTAGTTGCTGAGAGCAAACTCTCTAACTTATTTAAGCAGGGAGAAATTTGCAACATGGTACTAAGTGGTTTAGAGAATCATGACAAGGACCAAAGAAGCTCTTGATAACTTGAGCTTTCAAAAGATGGCTCCTACAGCCAGAACCACCGCTTTTTCCTCAATCAGGAAGCCGGTTTCATGAGGAAAAGCTAGACTGCTATAGTCACAGTCAGGAAACTGTTGTGTTCTAAAAGCTGCTTCCTCTACTACTGGCCACAGAACAAAACCGCGCCAACTAATGTGAATCAGCCCCCTTGAAATCCTGCATCACGACCCCCATGAAATGAGTGACTGGAAGCTGGGCTTCCACTAAGCGCGCCACAGGAAACCCAATGGCTCCCACAGTTAGGCTCATACTCATAAGCATCACGATGAGTGTAGTCACAGCAGAAGTCCTGGCTTCCAAATCTCATGCAAGTGTAGCTGATTCACCCAACCTAATGCACCTATAAACTACCCGGGAGTTTGGGAAATGTAATTTTAATTTTCCAGTACTTGTAGGGGAGGACATCACAGTAGAGTAAATGTTGACTATTAATCCACCAGTGTTTTCCAGGACATAAAGTTTAAAAATGTTTTGATGAGTCAGATCCCAGAATATTTTATTGCAGAGGAGAAAATAAAATTAACACACAAAGGATTGCTTTAATCAGTAGAACATGAGCTGATTGTCTTTATTTATGGCACTGATAGTCAATATGTCACTTAATTTTTATAGGATAGGCCTCGATTGATGACCTAGAAATGGGCCTTTGAAGTGACATTGAATCTTGTCTGATATGCAATAAGATACATAGAGAAGAAAGAAAAGAAATGTAAAACAAAACTATAATATTTAGAATTTTAGTCTTGGTTCTCTTTAATGTTAATAGACACTGTACATGTAAGTCTTCATAATTGTTTTCTAAGTCTACCATCTTCCCAGTTCTAATTCAGGTGTGATACCCTTTTATATATTTAGTGCTGTAAAAATGCAAATCCTTTATTATGCGTGGATTCTGTGCATCAGAAATTTGATGAGGCATAGCAGGGATACCTCACCTCTGCTCACAGTATTTGGTATCTCAGCTGGGAAAACTCAAATAGTTGAGGGCATTTGGAGTAGTTCGATGTACCAGTTGGACCCATTCTAAGATGTCTGCTTCACTTATATGCCTGGTTCTTCATTGCAAATGGCTGAAAAGTTGGGCTCAGCTAGGACTGTCATCCACGTGCTTACATGCTGTGTAGCCTTTGAGTGGTCACACTTCTTACATGGTGGTTTACGTCCCAGGGAATAAGATTTGTGGGAGCTTCATGGCCTTTTATGACTTAGCTTTAGGAGACACACAGTGACACTTGCATTCTATTCTATTGGTCAAAGCAATCATAAGCCTGGGCAGAGAGGTAGCTAACAGGACATGTGCTTTAACTGCCTTGTGTGGATTTTTATAAGGGGAATGCATGTAGATATTAATCATGTGATAGAAAAATAGCAATGCTATGATAAATTTATCATATAGAAAGCTAGAACAACTAAGTGCAGAGAGAGAAACTGATTTAATCAGAAGAATTCCCAAAGAGAGCAAAAACTTCTCCATCTAAATGTATTTAACTTGTGGCTAATATAGGCAGACGATCTTTTTTCCTCATTTTTTTGTTTATATTGTTTTGTTATTGGACATGTAAAACCACATTCCTTTAAAGAAGAAAAAGCCCGATGCAATAAACATCTGTTTGCTGCTAGAAATAAAACTGGGACAAACAACAGGCTTTAAAAATAATCCAATTCTTCATTTTACAGGTGAACACATAGAGGGAAATAATGAGACTTACAGAAAGTCAGACTAATCATTTTAGTAGAGTTTGGTTTAAAATGCAGATTTTCTGATTCATAAGAGTGCTTTTGTTTGAAAATTTTGAAGAATTCAGGATTTGACACCTTATAAGAAAATAATTTGGAAAAGTTTCTAGCAGATATTAGAATGTAGCTATAACCCTGGCTTCCATGGGTGGCTCTGTGGATTGAGCACCGGCCTTCAAACTGAAAGGTTACTGGTTCAGTTCCCAGTTGGGGCACATGCCTGAGTTGTATGTGGTGTTGTGGGTGCGTGAGAGGCAATGAATCCGTGTTTCTCTCACAGGGGTGTTGCTCTCCCTTTCCGTCTCCCTCCCTCCCCCGTCTCTTAAAATAAATAAATAAAATATTTTTAAAAAGAAATCAGCTATAAAATGAGGCAGGACTTGAGTCTCCTAAATTCCAAATTATATCTAAGTTAAGTGAGTACTTGGCCTTTGCTTAAAAGGGCCAAGTTTTTAAGTAAGTTTTATTAGATAAAACTTACTTAAATAAGTTTTATCTAATAAAACTTATTTTTTAATTGTCAACTGAACATGCAACTTGACAATTATGAACATGGCATTTGATTGTCATTTACAATATCTCTATGTTAACTTGCTTTGTTGTTAGCAGTACTTTAAGATTTTGTGCACTCTCTAAGGTCATCACGTATTCTGATCTTCTAGAAGATCTCGCTTTAAAATATTCTGTTTCAAGAGCTCTCCAAATCACTGGTAACTTCCAGAATTTCTATATTTTTACCCCACCATATTCCAGACTGTATCTTATAACTAGATAAGGGAAGACAACAGTTTTCCATGGGCCCAAATGTTTGAAACTGGACCCATGGAAAACTGGACCCATTATATATATATATATAATTTATATATATATATATATATATATATTTATATATATTCAAATATATATTTTTATATATTCAAATATATATATATTTATATATTCAAATATATATATATTCAAATATATATATATATATATATATATTCACTGTAATCTGGGCCTCAGCAACAACTTCCTGCTTTCTCTGTTATTTTTTTGTTTAAATATTGGAATTCCTTTTCTTTAGCTGTTAGTCATTTCAGTAATGGCGTAGTGTTTGGCATAAAGCTTTTCTGAAGCAATATTCCTAAAGCCACACACTTTTTAGAGTGAGAGCTAGCTTCCTTTGTCCCTCCTGACAGCATTTGGGAAACGACTCCTGCAGCCCAGAAGTTATGTCTGCCTCGCTTCATAAACAGAGCAGGTTCACATAAGCAGCCCGTAGATGCTTTGTCTTGTCTTTGTGGTGACTGCAGTAGACAATGCATGGAAGTTTGTTTCAGATATTGAAGAGAGGTGAAATAAGACTGCCTTGTGTGATAAACCTAAGTGCATAAATAGAGAAGAGTTAAGAGGTGTGGCTGATTCTCCACTGGCCATTCTTGATCAGCTGTGAGGAATAGAGGGAAGCTGGCTTGAGGTTTTGAGGAAGGAGGAACTGGTATGATGAGAGCCATCGGCCCAATAATGTAGACAGGCCATTCAAACAACACTGACAAGTGGAGAGTGCTTTATCGAAGTACTTTTTTTGCTTGCAGATGCGAATTGGACTGCATTCTGGGTCGGTTTTTGCTGGAGTTGTTGGGGTTAAAATGCCCCGTTACTGTCTTTTTGGAAACAATGTCACCTTGGCTAACAAATTTGAGTCCTGCAGTGTGCCACGAAAAATCAACGTCAGCCCAACCACTTACAGGTACTGATTGCACTGACCACTTGAAATCTATTAGTTTACTGCTGTAGTGGGAGCAATGGCATCTAGTCAAGGGGAGGGAGGGAATCTTCTACCTTGTGTGGACGTCTGCACTGGGGCTCTCGCTGCCGTCATTGGATCTGACTGCCATCATGCTTCCACTTACATGGTTTCATTTTTCCAACCTGTTTTTCTCATAAATTTGATCTTTATTTGAAGGTGATTTTAATGAACATTTTTTCACCCCATGACACTCTACTTGTGTTTATCTGTAAGTTTCTTTAAAAGGCTGGGATTTGTATCCAGAAGACATGTCTTACCAGTTCTAAATACAAGGCTGTGGGATCTTGAGCAAAACCCTTAATAAATTCAAGTGATATAAAGGTTGTGATTGTAATGATCACACTTAATAGGAAATGTTGAGCTAATGTGGACAGAAAAATATTTTTTTAATTTATCAATCACCTACAGTTTTATGTAGTTCTATTTACTAAATCCTTACAGATTGATACATTTTTACAATTACTTTTTAAACATTCCAAACATACAGAAAAAAGTCAAAGAAAATATGATACCCATGTAACCAATCTAATATTTAATAAATCTCAACATTTTGACGTATTTGTTTCAGATCCCTGTTTCATAAAAGAAATACAATATCACAGTCCCCAGGTCCCTGTTTTCTGGCTGACACACTGGACTCTATATCCCTTAAGATTTGCAGGAAAATCTGGGAACATGAACTGCCTGAGGACAGGCAGGCTCTGAAGAGAGAGGGAGGAAGGCACTGAGTAGAGATACAACGTATGTCGCTGCTGTTTACCAGGAAGGAACATGGGCAGAGAGAAGCCAGTAGCATAACTCTCTTCATTTAGGTTCCTCCACATAAAGAAGTAAAGTCAGAGAAAAATAGGTTTGCATTCAGCCTGTTCATATCCTTTTATGATTTGCTTGGGATCCACTCAGAATTATGTTTCTGAGGCATTTTTTCTTGATGAAATATCAATCTAATTCATCCGTTCAAACTATTTCTCATGCAGTGGTGTGCTGATAAACCAGTTTAGAGGAGTGAAAGGGAGAATCTGTGATTTCTAGCATTTACCAATGTCTGTGGCATAATACTCCCACCATGGCAGGTTTCATTCCATCGATAGCTTGCAAAATTCCTGAATGTTTTCACAGTTTGCTCTTACAAACCAGTACAAACCAGAACAAGCATGTCACTATATAATATTGAATATTTATTCTGGAGTATGAATCAGCCAGAATCTACCTTCTACCTCCCTGTTCGGGTGCCAGATGTGGCGGACTCCAGCCAGCAGAGTCTGCCTGTTGTGGCTGACGACGAGAATAAATGCACAGGTCACAGCGGTCCTGTGGAGAAAAAGGGAACAGGCATGGCTGCTCTCTCAAGGGCAGAGCGCATCGACCCTTGCTTAGACAAGCTTTTATTGTTTTCCTCAGGTCTTACATCAGAGAAAGACTTATTATCTACTACATAGAGTGTTATTGTCTACATTTTAGGTACAATCAAGGAAATAAAAATAGCATGCAGAGGGGAATGGCAATGAGCTCATTAGCTCTATCCTTAGGAAAATTCACGTAGGCTTTGGAAATTACTTTGAGGATAGACAAGGTACATTTGTTGTTCCAGACCAGGGTGATGGAGTTTTAGCCAGAGCAAGCCATAGCAATCTGTATGCATTTTCTAGGCCTGATTCCCACGGGAAAACTCGGTTTGAAGGTCTGGCTCCTGCCCACTGCTTCGCTTCTGTAGGTTTTCCATACAGAGCTGAGTCACATTTGCCAGGCCAAGACAAACCGGTCCCCTACAATATGATATCCACTGATGCGTATTCTTATGTCATTGACCTATTTAACTTTCACAACTGTCCTTGACATGCATACTACTGTCCCATTTTTCAAAGTTAGAAGCTGACATCTTTGTTGTACTTCAAAATTAAATCTACCAGAGTTTGAAACTTATACTTTTGCTATGGGATTCTGTAGCTTTTCATTATGTATTACCAAATCCTGTGCCTATAAATAACAGGCCTCAGGAAATATTTATGAATTTCTAATGGAATCATCATTTTCATTGGTTTTATTATTTTGCAGATTACATATTTATCAGTGCACTAATAGAAATCAGTGAATAGAATGCTCACATGTATTCTACCTCAGATCTATCATTGTTAGGCCTAGATTTCTACCCAGTTGGTTTTTTCAGTATTTGGAAGAGTGTCAGAGTTCCAAATTCTAATGCAGCACCAACATTCTATTTCATTTAGATAGGACATTGCAGACTGGTGAGTAAGGCTCTGGTCTGGTTGGGCAAATGTCAGGAGTGGTTTTCTGTAAAAGTTGGTTTAGATCCCAGAACTATTCAACATTTTTCATCTATGGCCTAAATAATAGATTAGAGTGATACTTATTAAGTTTGCCTTGAATAGAAAGCTAGGAAAATAAATGGGAAAAGCCAGTGACTGAATCAGTAGGATCAGGAATTCAAAATGAGTTTAGCATAATGGATAGATAGTTAGTAGTAAAATTTTTAAAAATTGGGTAGAACAAATGAATTTAAGAAGGAAATACATGATAAACACCAGATAGAAAGTAGAGTGTCAATATGTAAAATTAAATCTTATTTTAATCTTACTAACCATGAATTGATAAAAATTCTGCTGAGTAATAAAAGTTTAAATATATATATATGTGTGTGTGTGTATTTAAATATATATGTGTGTGTGTGTGTGTGTATATGTGTGTATATGGATATAGCTTATGTAGAACTTTCCCTTCAAAGTTTTTTGTCCATTATCATTTCTCAGTAACATTTACAAAATGACTAAATCAGTAAATGGGCAATGCTTTAACTTGTCCAATCTTTTAACTTTGGAAGGAAGACTTATCTATAACATTATATTTATGGGTTTATTTATTTTTTTTTTGCTTTTATTAGACCTTTAGATTATTTTGGTCTTTATTTCCCAACTACTGTGAATTTATTTTCCATTGTACTTCTTCTGTTTGTTAACATCATAAGGAGATTTCTGTCCATCACAGTGAGTGGCAGGTTTATTAATATTTTAAAGAATATTCATTTAGTTCTGTTGTCTTTTTTGAGTAGACAATTATGTAAGCATTAAATCTTAATGGTTATATTTTTATTTTAATCTTTCAGATTACTCAAAGACTGTCCTGGTTTTGTGTTTACCCCTCGATCAAGGGAGGAACTTCCACCAAATTTCCCCAGTGAAATTCCTGGAATCTGTCATTTTCTAGAAGCGTATCAACAAGGAACAAATTCAAAACCATGGTTCCAAAAGAAAGATGTTGAAGATGGCAATGCCAATTTTTTAGGCAAAGCATCGGGAATAGATTAACAAAATATATGCCTGATGTTAGCCGTTGGGGATTGACTCCTTCAAGCATTTGTGGAATCTCTGAAAGCACTTTAGGATGCAGATGGTTAAAAAGCAGTATTAAAATTTCAGGAGCAGAGTCATGATCTACTCTTTCTTCCATTCAACATGACAAAAAATGTATGCACTTCAATACTTCAGCTCTTCCGTGAAAATAAAAACATAACCTCGAGAAGTAACTTTGGGAGGGATATTTTTGTTATATAACATTCACTTATTATCTGTACTTAAAATTTAGCACATTGTACCTATATCAAGTAATTGTAATAACCTGTACAATGTGATGGAGTCACTTGTATTCTTTGTCCTGGTAGAATGCCAACTGTGTCTGTGATAGTGTTGCCTTAAAAAAGCTTTCAAATAGAAATGATAGTCTTTGATGCCATAAGCTCTTTGGACCTTTAAACTCTGAATTTTATTATACTTTCACATGTAATTGTTTAGCATTCATAAAATAGATTGAGGTTTTTTTCTCTTGCACTTTTCTTTTTTCTATTTTTAAGAAAATAAGCAATTAAGGGTTAGATGCAATATGAATATAAAATAGATCTTCTGTAAATATCAAAGATTGTTTTATAAACATATTCTCCATAACATAATGTGTCATTAACAATAAATATTTCCTTTTATTTGCATTTTTATTCAACATATAGTAAAGATTTTTTCATTGTTATTAGCAATTTAGTTCCTATTCATTTATGTCTTATAGTATTTAGAATAAAAGAGAATTAAGCCTATGTTAAAATGCAATGATATCATTTTGATTTATTTTAATCAGAAGCAACATGGGAGTAAAGTAAGCATTTGGGGAACATATAATAAAGTACAGAAATAAAATATTTACACACAGAGAGTAATTTGGGTCTACTTCAGCAGATATAGTCTACTGCCATGCTGAGCTACATGAAATTCCAGTAAGAAAACCCAAATTCAGAATTGGAAAATAAAAATTGTTCTTTTTTTTGTAAGAGTGAATTTTTCAAGTATTTGTATTGAATACTTTAGTGTGCGTATATTTTCTGAAAACCACTAGGGGGGTTGTCTTACTAAATACACACTTATGAATTTTTTTTATTCTAGTTGAAATATCTCAATGATACTGCTTGAAGAAAATGTTAGTGTCATTGAAGAAAATTATGCTGTGATTTTATTATGAAAAATTTTAAACATTTTTCTGGAGCTGGAACTTTAACTTTTAATAATGTTAGTCTAATATATCTGGTTACCTAAACCTAAGTAAGGATTTGATTTTAAAAGAGCTCAACTTCGAAGCAAGAGAAAGATGAACATTATAATTTTTAAGTTAGTATTAGTAGAGCCATAGATACACTGAAATTTTATTTGGAATTCTAAGAAATAACTCAGTTTGAAATTTCTCTAAAGATCTCTAGTAGTTCCCAGGCTACCCCATGGTGATCTCAGGAATAAAAGTAATTACTAATTGGCCTCTAATATCCTACCTGTACCACTATAGATATAACAATGATTATTACTAAGTTCCCCAATTTCTTGAAGGACTGAATATGTCTCCTTAAATACCAATCCTATTGTTGGAAAATATCATAGGTATTGGGAATATATAGTTCTGTGAAGTTCAGAAAAATACTTAAAAGGAAAACAAAGACAAATACATTTTTCTTTCTGTAACTGAACACCTATCATAGGGAAAATAACAGAAGTTAAAGAAAATTTAAAAGCATAAAATCAAATGTCTCCTTTACAGAAATATTTAGCAGATCCCAATTTCATAATAACTTGTTTTCTTATTTAAATTGTTTTTCCTGAGAATTCCACAAGCTGTTTCTCCTATTCTGATTTTGTTTTCATTCATGGCTTCTTGCCCCATTATTTTGTGTCCAGTTTGCAAAATAAATTTGCTCTCTATAGCTATTTCTCAAGCAAGAATAGAGTTCCACTGACATTTTCTAAAGATGTTTGCATTAAGAAGCAAAGAGAAATACAGAATTAAAAAGTCTCTTTCCATTTTTTCCTCGTGGTTTTATTTCCACCTAAACTTTATAAGAGAAGGCAGAGTTTCAACCTCAATGAATAGGTTCACTTACTCATTCCCATTTACATAATCATCATTTCTTGAATGACTCCCATATACTAGAAATAATGCTGTTTTTGGAATTCAGAGATAAAGTATGGTCCATTCTAACAAGAAAGGAAAATGAAAAATGAACATAAGATAATTTCAAAATTCTCTGGGAACACAAAGTAGGAGACCTGTGCTTGGAGAAGTAAGTGTCTTGGTCTTAGAGGAGTTCATGAGGCAGAGAGGGAAGGACTTGGTCCAGGCGAGTATAATAGTACACACAAAGTAATGCAGTCTTGGAGATGCCTAGGTATCCTGGGTAGCATGTTGCCTGGGATGAGTTGGAGGTGAGGGAAATAAGCTTAGAAAGTCTATTTAGATGCAATTCATGAAGAAGGCTGTTGTTTACATTAAGGTGTGTGATTTTGATGATGATGATGGTTAATTGTCATTATTAATTTTCATGGAGCCTTTTGTTCAAAACAAATCTTACAAACCAACAAACACAAAAAGAAGCAAAACAAAAAAAGCAGACCATTGTTTTCTGCCTCTCTCCCCAACAGTTTTTAAAACTAGTAGGCAAGGGAAACAGCAAATGCTAAAGGAAGAAATGGGTGGTCATATGTGTGCTTTTGAAAGGCAGTGTCAGAAACAGCATGGAGAGATGTGCATGTTGACTTGCACAGATGACCAAATTGACCTTCTTCTGTGTCTCAGAAGAAAATGAGTCATGCTGTATCCTGGGTGTTTTTACCAGAAGTATGAACGTAATTGTGGCATTGGAATTTCATATTACTCTCTAGGTCATTAGTTCTTCAGATCCTTTGTTGGGAAGGAGGGAAGAGTGGCTTCAGCATTTTGCTAACCTTTCCTTCAAATTCTCTGTGATATTACCAGTCACACCAAGGCAAGACCCTTCCAGGCCTGTCCTAGGATGGAAAAGGGGCAGAGGGCAAGCAAGTGCGACAGCCTGCCTGTTTCAAATAGCCCTGGGCATAGACTTGGCACCCTGAGATTCCCCAGCTGGGAAAGTGCCCACATAGAGCTTCACATACAAAGCCTGTAGGGAGTCTAGGGCCATACAAAGCTTGAAAATCACATTCAATTCCCTGTTAAAGCAACAGTTAATAGTCTCAAAGAGAACAAGTTAACAAATTATTATAGTAGTTTGAAGGCTATGGATTTTACCTGGAGAAATTAATTAGTGAAAAGCAATCTTTTTGATCCATATTGTTGGGGTGGCTGGCTAAATCACTACCCTTCACTGAACACTGAAATACAAAGTTTGTTTTGCCTGCTTGTGCACTTTGGTGCTGCGTCACTCTTAAATGGCTGTACTCACACAGTTAAATAAAGGCAGATTTAAAGGGTGGAAAGATGGGGGATATGACTGGATGGGTGGGAGGCGAGTCACCAGAGGGGTTGCAATTCCGGTAAAGGAGAACTAGTCTCCTGCAAAACAAAAACTCAGTCCAGGTTACAGAAACTCAATGCAGATGATAGAAAATGCAATTCCCTTTTCTAATCATAGGCTAAAAGCAGGGACAGCTTGCTTTATTAAGCAGAAAACACCCAAATGCAACTTTAAACCAAGGTTTACAGTGTTGTATGTTCTTTGTTGGGATTCTCCTCAAATCCTGAGAAATCTTGGTGTCTTGCAGTGAGAAGTGGAAGAATCACTCCTGTTGTGAAAGCCAGGAGCTTGGGAAGCATGACGTTTACTCCTTTGTGGTCTTTGTGGCCTTGAGCTTTCTTCTTTCTGCATGTTTGCTTCCAGATGTTTGGTATAGTGAGACTCCCTTTTAAATACTTCGTTTATTACGTTGATGATGTGTACTCTTTCGGTATTCTTCCTTTAAGCCACATCAGACATTTTGCATTTGACTTTATTGCCATCTTTATTTATCTTTTTCACACAAACTATTTCCTTATTTTTTCACCCCAATTATTTCTTTGCTTTCTTCTTCATGTTCCTTTCATTCCTTATTCAGTACATGCCCCCCATAGCAAAACCTTCATAAATGCATAGATTCTATTGTTTTTAAGTAAAGGGGAAATAGTGATCTTCTAAAGGCCAGGCTTCTTTCATCATCAGTATAGATTATTTTGATCATCGCATACTTAGTTTTAAAAAACTGTTAATATTTTAGATTTAAACACTGGGATAGAAATGAGGACAGAGTATAAATGTTCTAGGACTTAATTTTAGACATTTCTGGTAGAAGAGTTTGGAAAAGTTTGTGCTGCCTCTCAATCATTTAATGGCACAATATTAAATTGCCGATACACCTAACTATTTGTGGAAACTGCTTGCAATGAACTGCCTTCTTCCCTAGATAACTTGTATCTTGCAAAACTGAAGCAAATAAAAATATATCAATATGTGAAAATTTACTGTTCCTTTACCTCTGGCCACATGTAAATTAAAGATGCCCTGCAAAATCTTATAACAGAAATTATATCCACTAAAGTGCTGGTCTCCAGCTTTTTGGACTTCTGCAACTATGAATAAAATATTTTAGTACACCAACAATGTATTTTAAATACAAAAAATAAGTATCATATAAATAGTATTAATGCTTAGGATTAACAAATATAATATGCTATTTTCAAGCCTATATACTACAATACAGTTATAAAACTTTTTTGTTTATGAGTGTGAATATAAATAGAAATTTTAGTATTTTCTTCTCTTACCCCAGCCTATCATCCTTATATTTTACTTTGGAAACTGCTGCAGTTGGCTGGTGGATCTTCACTTTGATTGAGCCATATCACTTTGAGAAGGTGGATAAAAGTCATAGAACATCAGCTCTCCCAAAATATGCGGATGATCTCCTAGCCCAAGATTTATATATACTTCAGAGGTTTGGGAACTTCCTGGAGTCCACCCCACTGAGGTAGCATAGATTCCGAAAGAACATAGAGGGGAAAAGAGTAAATAATCTTCAAAAAGAGAAGACAATGAATAACTGGGAAAGGTCTGACTTTTGGGTTAAATGGGCCACTTTTAATTTTTGAGTAATAAAGGAAATATGTGCACTTTATGTTTGTTGTTTTTTTGTGTGTGAAATGATTCATGGGCCTTCACATATAGGTAACTACATGTTTTTCTTTTGTTGTTTTTTTTTCCAGCAAACATTTGACATATCTTTCAACATATTTTTCTCTAGCTTCTGGTAAATGTGTGCTGCTAACAATACTCCCCTTTTATCCCCTAATTTAAGTACTTCTTTTTATTTTTCTCTACGTGAAAGAGGATACCTATTGGACTTTGCATTGAAAACCTTCTTGATGCTAACAATACTCTTTTTATTATAACTTTCATTGTTGCTTTAAATAATATGTTTATTTTGAGTTCTGCTTCTGGCAGCATTGCAAAGTTTATTAAAAAGTTATCCTGTGTCTCTGAAGCTCGTTAGATATTGATGCTGCTACATAAATATTGTAACAAAAGTGTTTAAATAAAAAGCTTCTTAAAAATAAAATGAGTTCTATTTAAAAGAAAAATGAACCATTTGATTGAATAAAAATAATTTTTTCCAAAACATACAGATGCATTTGTTCTGAAGTAAGTTTTGCTGCTACAGAGAGAGGAAACCTCTGACACAATAGTGTGGAAACCCAGGGCCAACAACCATTGTTTCAGGCTTTTGCTATGTACAGCTCAACCTATATTTAAAAAATTGTTAAATAAGGTACTAATGTAACCAAAATTAATTTCTTTAGGCATGTAAAGCTTCAATTTCCAACAAAACTCATATTCAGATTTTTCAAATCACACATAAAATCAAAAGTGAAATACAGCCCCCTAAATTTAAGAATAAAACAGGCTCTGGCTGGCGTGGCTAAATGGATGAACACTGGCCTGTGAAGCAAAGGGTTGCTGGTTCGATTCCCAGTCAGCACTTGCCTGGGTTGCAGGGCAGGTCCCCAGTAGGGGGTGCATGAGAGGCAACCACACATTGATGCTTCTTTCCCTCTCTTTCTCCCTTCCTTCCCCTCTGTATAAAAGTAAATAAAATAAAATCTTTAAAAAAAGAATAAAACAAGACTCTCCTTGTACAAGTGTAACTGTTAGTGGCACAAGCTTTAGAGTCAGTTTATCTTGTTCTCAGTCTGTTGGAAGACAATTTTTCATCTCTTACAGTTTTGTAAAGAAACAGGAGTACTGACTGCCTTTGACCTACACTCTATTTTAAAGGATGTTTGTAGTGGAAAAAGCCTTAGAAAATACTACCTCCCTGCAGAGCAAAGAGCAGGCAGGCTTACTGCCCACTGTATTCCTAAATTTGAGGCTTCTCTCCTCTACTGCAACCCACTGTGTGTGCAGGGCTCAACTGATTCTCTTCATATTGTCCTGTGAAAATCGGGGCCCACGGGACCAATGTAAAATAAGGCTGATGCTTTCTTTCCTATTTCCTATGATACTATTCTGAGTAACAGTCTTTTGTCTCTGACCCAGGAAACTTGTGTCTTCTGCTAGCATCTATGAAACCATGACAGTTTTACTTGTTAACTTGCAAGTAGAGTAAAATCTCAGACTCTTCATAGTAATTCATAGTTATCAACAGTTTTGGCATGAGGATGGGAGACCGACAGAAACATGACTTCCTGGAAGAGAAAAGATAGGCGTCTTGTGGGCTGGTTAACAGGAATGGAGGGAAGAGCCCGTGGGAATCAACAGCAAACATGGTGACTGAATTGTGTGTCCCATAGGCTGACAAATGGTCCACCATTTTATTATGTGTTAATAAGGAAAAATTAGGGAGGGAGTAGCATGCCGACTGTCAGTAATGAGGCTCAAAGTTGCTGCCTTAACAGTGGCTTGGTTGTGGCTAACATTTCTTTGGGTGAAAAGACTTCACTCAAGCTGCCAGCCTCAAGTATACCTCATTGTCGTAACTCATACAAAGAATAGTCCTGGGATAAAATGAGGTTCTGACCCACTTTAGGCAAGAGTTACAGAAGTGTACATTTACCATCAATGCACAGAAAGGAAATCATCATGCCCTATGAGCAGAAACCAAGTGAATAGTTAGAACTTTGGCTAGACCACTTGGGAGATGAGGATGCCAGAATCATAAAGTTTGCATGAGCGGGGCAGCCTTAAGGCTTAGCTTTTCCTATAGTCTTTCGTGCTAACCTTAGTTAGAGATGACAATCTTGGAATTTTTTTCAGTAATCCTTGCTGCCATAAGGGAGTTTTTTTTTTTTCAGGACATTTCCCTGATACAGGCAAATTTTTATGGAACCATAGACAACACATTACTATGGGATAAACTGTATCACCCCAAAACTTCTATGCTAAAATTCTAGTTCCCAGTACCTCAGAATGTGACCTTATTTGAAAATAGGATTGTAGCAGACATAATTATTTAAGACGAGGTTATACAAAAGTAGATAGATCCCTAATCTAATATGACTGGTATCCTTATTTTTAAAAGGGGAATTCTGAACACAGAAACACACAGAGAGAATGCCATGTGAAGATGACAGTGAAGATTGCGGTAATGCTTATACAAGTCAAGAAATATGAATTATTACCAAGAAACAACCAGAAGCTAGGTGAGAAGATGAGGCAGATTCCATCTCATGACCCCTAAAATAGTGAACCCAACTGACATCTTGATCTTGAATTTCTAGTCTTCTATAATAGGAGACAATAAATTTCTGCTGTCTAAGCCACCCAAATACTTTGTTTCATTATGCAACAGAAATATAAAATTTTGATTTCCTTCTTTCTCCCAACAACCCATCACTCACCACCATGTTCAGATAGGTCCTTATGAACTTTGATTTCCTATGGGGACAAGGAGAACTTGGCTAGCCTTCTTGGTTGGTAGGTGGGCATCTTCTGGATGTGTCCTCACTTAACGGACTCTTTATTTTATAAGGACACTAATCCCATAGTAGGGTCTTACCCTCATAAGCTCATCTAGAACTAATTACCTCTCAAATGCTCTAATTCCTTCTAATACTATCACATTGAAGATTAGATAGAGCTGCAACATATGAATTTTAGGAGGCACAGACTTAGTTCCTGTTAAGTTTTGGGCGAGATCCCAGAATTTGGTTCAGAAAAAATACTCAGCACACAGTTTTGGTATCCTATTGTTGCTGCAACAAAGTACAAGAAACATAATGGCTTAAAAGAACACAAATTAATTAGTTTATAGTTCTAGAGGTCAAAGGTCCTAAAATCAATTGTAGCAGGGCTACATTCCTTCTGGAGGCAGTAGGGAAGAATTATGTATTTTTGACTTATTCCAACATCTACAAGCTTCCTGCATTCTTTGGTTCATGGCCCCTTCCTTATATCACTTCCACCTTTGCTTCCGATGTCACACCTTCTCTGATTTTGATGCTCCTGCCTTTCTCTTTTTTCCTAATTCTATTTTATTGGTTATAATATTGCAGTTGTTCCAATTTTTCTCCCTTTGCTGCCTCCACTCAACAACCCCTACTCCACTCAACAATCCCTGCACCGTTTTTCATGTATGTGGTTCATGCATATGAGTTCTTTGGCTACTCTATTTCCTATGCTGTACTTTACAATACCATGGCCATTCTGTAACTATCTGTTTGTACTTCTTAATCTCCTCGCTTCTTCACCCATTCGCCCCTTCTGGCAACCATCAAAATGCTCTCCATATCCACAATTCTGTTTCTGTTTTCCATGTTTGCTTAGTTTGTTTTTTTTAGATTAAATTTTTGATAATTACTTATTTTTACCATTTTATTTTTTATAGTTTTTATCTTCTGCTTTTACTTATATAAGTCCCTTTAGTATTTAATAAAATAATCCTTTGCTCCCTTTAGTTTTTTCTTGTCTGAGAAGCTCTTTGTCTGACCTTCAATTCTAAGTGATATGTTTCCTGGATAGAACAATCTTGGCTCTAGGTCTCTATTTTTTAGGACTTTGCATACTTCTTGCCAATCCCTTCTAGGCTGCAAGATTCTTTTGAGAAATCAGCTGATAGTCTTATGGGAACACCCCTGTAGTTAACTAACTGCTTTTCTCGTGCTGCTTCTAAGAGTCTCTTTGCTGTGGCTGGTGGGGCTCTGTGGATTGAGTGCCAGCCTGTGAACCAAGGGGTTGCTGGTTCAATTAATCATCAGGGCACATGCATGGGCTGCAGTCCAGGTCCCTATTAGGGAACATGTGTGATACAATCACACATTGATGTTTCTCTCTTTCTCCCTCCCTTACCCTCTCTCTAAAAATAAACAAATAAAATATTTAAAAAATTCTCTCTTTATCTTTAATATTTGGAATTTTAATTATGATGTGTCTTGGAGTAGAACTTTTTGCATTTATCTTGTTTAGGTCTCTGTGCTTCCTGGACTTGCACATCTATTTCCTTCACCAAATTAGGGAAGTTATCTTTCATTATTCTTTCAAATAAATTTCCAAATTTTGCTTTTTCTCTTCTTCTGGCACCCTTACAATGTGAATGTTGGACCTCTTGAAGTTGTCCCAGAGGCTGCTTACACTATCTTCATTTTTTTAGATTCTTTTTTCTTTTTGTTGTTCTAATTGTTTGTTTTTGCTTCTCTATGGTCCAAATTATTAATTTGATTCTTGGCTTCATCCACTCTACTGTTATTTCCCTGTAAGTTGTTCTTTATTTCAATTAGTGTGTCTTTTGTTTCTGACTGGATGGATCTGTTTTATGCTATTGAGATCCTCAATAAGTTCCTTGAACATCCTTATAATCAGTGTTTTGAGCTCTGCATCTGGTAGATTGCTTATTTCCGCTTCATTTAGCTCTTTTTCTGAAATTTTGATCTGTTCTTTCATTTTGGCTACGTTACTTTGTCTCCTCATTTTGGCAGCCTCACTGTATTTGTTTTTATGTATTAGGGAGAGATGCTATGACTCCCTGTGTTGGTAGTATGGCCTAATGTAGTAGGTGTTCTGTAGGGTTCCGTGGCACAGCCTCCCCTATCCTACAAGCTGGATACTGGAGGTGTCCCTTATATGTAGGCTAAGTACACCTTCCGCTAGTTGAGGCTTGATTGCTATTGGCAGGTCAATGGCAGGAATTTACTTAGGCCAGTCAGCTTCAAGGACTGGCTGTGACCACTGACTACCAAATTCTGCCCTCTGTGGAGGATTAGCTGTGCAGGCACAGGGTGACAGTGCTCCACCGTGGTTTGTAGCTGTCCACTGAGTGCACAGGCCATGAGTTTTCTTGGGAGGTGCTGGCAATGTAAGCCCCCACCTGTGTTCTCAGTGGGGCCAACCTGTGTGAGCTATAAAGCAATCTGAGATGGCTGCTACTTGTACTGGGCTTGGAGACTCCCAGGCAAAGCCAAGCTATAAATCTAGGCTGGCTGCTGCTAGTGCTGGGTCCGCAGACACTTACCAAGGGGTAAAGAGGCTGGGGCTCACTGAGGTCAACCTTTGCTTGTTTGGGAGGTTTTAGGAAGTTGTGAAGCATGAG